ATTGACTTCAGTAATTCTTCAACATGTTTTATCTCAGACGTAATCAGAATGCTGAAATTGTTATTGACATTGCGATCCCAGAACTCTGGTTAATACCTCGTGAAAACCGGCTGTTCGTTTCGTTTTCGAAGTAGGCAGCGAGCAGACCTGCTAGGCGGAGCCCATCCGAATGCCTTTAATCTGCTCGTATATTTGCCAATTAAGTGTAAAGTGGGTTTTAAGACAATGCCGTAGAAGCTGGAGCAGATATTCGGACTTCAGGTCATATCACTTAGCCAGAAATTGTTTTACAACGCCCATCGCTATTTGTTGTGGGATGGGGCTGAGGGATGAAGCAACATCAAAGGATACCATGGATTCGTCTGGCCACAACTGCAGGTGTTTTACATGGTAAGCAGTCTGATTGAACTCCGCGCCTTTTTAAATTTGGTTCGGTCAATAACCGCGGAGGTTGGTCATTCTCACAATGCAAAGGTCGGCCCATTCAAGATCATAGGTCAACTCTTATACATTGCCGCATTCACGGTAGATTCAGAGGCTTATTAAACACCGATTTAAAGGGATTGGTGTGTGGGATAATCTAATGTGAGTTTCGATTTCAGGCAGTCGCATTATTGGCAATTCCGTCAGCGTAAACCTTTGTGAGCTCTTTTTGGGTAACCGTCATTGCCCGATATTGTACGAAGTTCTAGAATGCCAGACCACGTGCGGTCGCCATCCCGGAGAAGGTTCAGGAGAAAGCGCGTTTCTTTTTGGGTGCGCGCACGCCGAACTTTTCATATTTATACGCCAGGCACTTAGTCGCAATTTGGCCTTCCACAAAAAGTATGCATACAATAAATTATTATTATCCTAAAATTAAGCAAAATAGCCCTGGCTTAAGTTTGTTTAACTTTCCACCCTCGACCTACCCTCAACCAATTAACAATGACGACTCAACCTTGTCGACTTCCGCTCTGGAGAAGCTATAAATATGGGTGAGGATTAACCTACGACAACCCCATGGCCAGTCGCCGCTCTCCGGACGAGGAACCCCTGTCGCCTTCTCCGCTGGATTCCAATGCTCTCAGCCGTCCCTATGGACAATCCCCCCAGATGCAGTTTATTTTTGTAATTAGGACACCTTCCTTAGTTTCTCTTTGTACATAGGTCTAACAGTAAAATAGTCACTAGACCGTCTTATCCTGTTGGGCCTCGTTGACTACTATACTCGGGTTAGACGGGAACGTTACTATATGTTCATTGACTGGACGCTGAATTGACTTCGCACATAGCACAGTTGATCGAAACTTATCGTTCTAACGTCGCAATTGAGGAGAATAGCCGCCGTGTCCACATGCACATGACTGATGCTGCATCCGCGGTGGCTGACAATATCAAGTGGCCCATCTTCACAACCAGATCACAAAAATCCGCACGATAGCCCCGAAAAGGGCGATCTCAGATTGGTCGTCCATAATATTCCACAAAGGCCGCTGAGGGGAGACTATATGCTCTCATATTCTACCCTGGGGGAGAAACAATTTCTCCCGTGGGATTTAAAACATTAAAGAGGAGTATTTAATAAATCCAGGTGGTTATAGGTTTCGTCGTGCCGTTTATAATATTGCCAAGGTCAACTGCCATGTAAACCTGAACGCTTATTATAAGGATCTGGGCCGCAGTGCTCACTCCAAATCAGCCTGGCCTGAACTTTGTTATCACACTTCACTGTCTTAAGCGATGTTAGCCTGACCTGTACTAGTACGCTGCAATAAAACCGGCTTCTGAAACATCGGCGTCATTCGACTTCCAGCTCTCCTGATCGCACTTGACAGGGCACGGGTATTTTCTTCAGAGTTAACGCCTTAACCAATTAACCAATTCCAGAGGACGGTCGAAGCGAGTGATCGACGATCGAGTCAGAGGACTGAAATCTAGACGTGATGGTGAGTTGAGAGATAAATTCCGAAAAGTAAGCCCAGTTACACTCGATCCTGACGAGTCACTAGTCCACACTTTATCCTCCAAAGAACTGACGCCGCTGTCTGGTTTCACAGCTGTGGCGGTACTTCAGAAGTTTGCGACCCACAAACCAATATTTTGGGCGCGGTATATGAACGATACTTCTGTCGACCTTAGGCAGGAAATGGTCTCCGAGTGCGTGACTTCAAGGAACTGTTGCTCTTTCGGAGGTGCAAACTCCAACGATTTGAGTTTTATCTCAGGCGAAGATGTGCGCAGTAGCAAGGGATGGAAGGAGTCCACCAGATTCCATGCAATGCCTGCAACGGCGTATATTTCGACCAAACGGGAAAATCTGCCTCCTCTAATGGCCATGTACACTCTTGATGCCAAACACAATTTCGATCGTGATAAAATTCGCATCGCCGGAGTTTGCCTGCGACAGTTTGGCGACAGCACACTGATGTGACAATAAGTATGCTGTGTATTGCGTGCGTAAGACGGCAAGTGACGGAGCTTTAACGTAGATTTCTTCCAGCAGCCTCGTTTTTTTATTAACTGCATAGGTTTCGCCAGATATTGGAACACCTTTGGCACGCTCTTGTAAGTCAATTAAGTGACTGCGTTTTTTGAGTGAAGTTCACATAAGTATGATTAAAAATTGTTTCTATTTTTGAACATTGCTTTAGATTTCAGACGAAAACGTGCACCTTCCGTTGAGTGTGAAAAGAGATTGGGGGAAAGCTGTTTTCACGGAGCCTCTTCTGATTGCATAGAAGGCGCTATTTACCAGCAGAACACTGTCTGCAGGAAATATCTAAGGTAGGATAGCCAATGATAAGTGTATACTCGTGAGTCTATCAGTCGACGTTCACGTAACCACCGGAATTTTAACAAATGGCGCGTTTTTGTACTCTTTCTCTAACGCACAGTAGTCTGTTGTGGTAGTTTGACTTGGTTAAAGAAATATCTCCGTAACTCTGACTTCGCAACATGTGTTTGAGCTAGCGAGTAACCTGGTATTTATTAAAAACAACTGAATTGTAATTTCCACGGCGGAAAAAAATCATTTCAAAGCAGTGGATGACTTTGCGTTTTTAAACCTATTTTAATATATTTAGGAAAAATTAAAGCGCTTTTTGATTAAAAAAAGAACGTGGACAACCTAGAACAGCAACCAATCAAATTTAAGCTACAGACGGAAGTGACCTGAAGACTTAACGGCAATCACAAATTGAGGTAATGGGAAATCCCCAGGGCACAATGTCTTTTAGTAAAGTCTTTGTCACTTACGGATACGGTGCAGTCTTCTTCGTCGGACGTTTCCGGCGGAAATTGCAAATTGCACTTTGTGGGCGGCAGGGCTGAAATATTATCGACGACAAACTGGACGAAACGAACAATGTCGGTTATCTTCGGCCGTCGTCCTTCCTCCTTGTCAAGGCCTCTAAATTGACACATACGAGGTTGGTAAGGTTCTGCGGTCTTCAGAAAACGCTGACAATAAATTTTCCCTGGAAGACGAATTTTACTACCTGCGAGAAAACATGGTATTTTGGCTGGTCCAGGGGACACACAGTACCTGCCACAAGTCCATCACATCTAGTCGGAGACAAGATGACCAAAGATGGACCCAGATTAAATAACTAACGGGTCCGTACAACCAATCTGCGCGTGCCACGTACAACCGGGACCCCAACTCCACGTGGGCCAGCTTGATAGACAGCCTCCACCCCGTTGGTCGCAGAGGACGCTTCTGGGACTATTCCACTGGCCAGTGTGGAAGTAGATTTAGTGGCTAACAGGACCATATGACCGGGCTACGCATGCCACAAACGACCCAGTCTTCCATTACACATGGATCGGACTTTAAGCGGGGTTTATAGGCCTTGGTCGCCGAGGACGCCTCTGGATCTGACCGCCCGTGACTAACTGTCGCACTACGTGTCAGCATACTCCTCCAGCGTCCGTGACAGTTCACGGTATCGACGGTTTGTGTCAAATCCATGAATGTGGTGTCACTTCATAGCACTTCTCCCGCAGCTGTCGGGTAGATACCCTGGCATTCAAGGAGTCCGTGCCTCAGGTGGCTGTTGAGACATAGGGGGAGATGTATAAAGATCTCCTCGATTACATTGAACTGCGAGACTCTTCTGTAGTTAGCACAAAGTAGACGGCCGTCTTTACGGTGATAAATGTGTACAGTGGTGGCGCCTTTGGAGTCCAGAGAAACCTGTCCTTGTCGATACATCTCCCGGAGCAGCGATATGAGATTGTCCATCAGTCGACGACCACTCTGTATTTTAGATATCAGCCGAGATTGCGTCGGATACTAGTTATTTCTTGATGAAGAGCTCTCTGCGTTTTTGAGATAGAACGCAGACAGCCCAGACCAGTGCCAATAGAAGGGAAGAGACGAGTCCCAGGAAGTAGTCTTGAAGAAGGAGACACGATCGCCGGGACAAGAGCTTTATTAGCCTGACGTTTCGGATTCCTGCTCGAATCCGTCATCAGAGACAAAAAGCAGAAACGGGTGGTTGTTGCACAAGGGGCTGTGGTATTTATAGGATGCAGTAGCCAACCTATGAACATTCACGGCTCCCCCCTTCATCCGGGATCGTCGCACTTGGTGTGATAGTTGCTTGATGGCTGACATTTGAGTCGTTAATTGCTGAAATTTCATCACGTGCGTTGGATGTTGGCGTTATGATTGCTCGACCATCTAACGCACCGACCCCGGTGTTGAGGTGACAACCGCGTGAGCCGGGAGCTACTGGAATCATGGTTTACTGGCCCCCAGTCCATCAACAAGTGCAACGATCTTCCCATTCCATACTCCGTGCTGAGACTTCGCCTAGGCGGAGTAACCAGCCATGCGGGGAGCGCAGAGGTGAACACTTTTCCCAACACCGGGGTCGGTGCGTCAGATGGTCGAGCAGTCATCACGCCAACATTCAACGCACGTGATGAAATTGCAGCAATTATCGACTCGAATGTCAGCCATCAGGCAATAATCACACCAAGTGTGATGATCCCGGAGGAAGGGGGAGCCGTGAATGTTCATAGGTATGCGGTAGCATGGCTATTGCATCCCATAAATACCACAGCCCCTTGTGCAACAACCACCCGTTTCTGCTTTTTTGCTTCTGATGATGGATTCGAGCAGGAATCCGAAACGTCAGGCTAATAAAGCTTTTGTCCCAGCGATCGTGTCTCCTTCTTCAAGCCCAGACCAGTATTGGTTCCCAATTGGCCAGCCGGTCGATAGCGTCGTTAGAGATTGTGGACGGGGGATTAAGGTCGTCTCCCAAGGAATCAGTCCGGCTCTATGGAGTGTCCGATTTCTCTGTGATTTTTTTTCTTGTTACGTCGGGTTGAGCAGTGGCGCATAGTAACAACCAATTTTCATAGCACGACAGAAGCAGCTGTATAAAGTATAATGCATTTCGCCACGCCTAGCTGGGACCACACCGGACTGACTATCGGTGCAGATAAAACGGTTGTCGTAAAGCAAGACGCAAAAGCGGGCAGGCACACTACGTTTAGAATCAACATGAACAGAAGTCGACTGGTATCGGTAGATAAATTTACCTATAGAGGCAGTGGAGTCTCAAACAACACTAAGATCGACGAAGAAATAACGACCCGAATCTCGAAATTCTATCAGGTTTTCGGCCGGATAAACATCTCTGTCCGGAACCGCCGTAGACTTCACCTCAAGACGGAACTTAGCATGTACAGCAAGGTTGTCCTGACGACGCTACTTTGCGAGGCCGAGACACGCACTATTTGCACCAAACAAGCTAGGAATCTAAATTACTTAGAACTTAGCTGTTTCCGAACAACGCCTACGCCAAGGTGGTAGGACAGGAGCCCGGATACCGAAGTCCTGGGACGGACCGGAATCATCAGTATTCACGCCGTTCTGAGGAAACTGCAACTCATCGCGGGGACAGATGACGAGCATTCACCCAAGCGACTCTTATGCGGCGAAGTCTCTACAAGTCCTCCCGACAAAACAGCAAAATAAAACGCTACCATGACACCCTGCGGATCGCTGTCGGGGATCCAAAAAATTCAACCCGGAGACGTGGGAGGATCCTATCCAGGATCGTCCGGTCTGAAAAAGAGCAGTGTAGACTGGTGTGACAACCTTCGAAGTCAGCCGAATCGATCCATACCCTCAACCCTAAAAACCCAATCCCTTCACTCTTGTCCAGTGATAGTATCCGCTGGCGTAGGCCTTTAGAGAAGCTTGTTGTTGCCCGATAGACAACCTGAAATGCTTCCTTGGCATCGACTGGGTGATTCTTTTCAATTTAATATGCAATTAAATCTACTCATTCACTTGCTCCTGTGGAGTGGGATACATCGGCCGTACAACGAGACGCCTGCCGGAGGGTGCGTGAACATAGGTCCGCCTGACTAGACAGAGGTGAGACCCGATCGATTTCGAGTTCTATTCTCGCACATTTAATCGATACGGAGCACCGAGTCGATGCAATGGAAGCACTTCATGTTGTCTATCGGACACCAAAAAGCTTCTCTAAAGGCCTACGCCAACGGATACTAGCAACGGTCGAGGCAGCGGCTATACGGCTAGCGAATCCGGTGTTATGCTGTCAGAAAACTCTGACACAAGCGCTTTCGCTGCTGTGGCCAACGCCAACCTCACGTGATGACGACATGCCGCCTCAAATCCCTGATTACAGTTATGGGTACTCAGTGTACTCAATCCAAGAGCATCACTCAAAAACTCGCTTACCCCCCTCCCCCAGCCCTAAGGACCAAAACCCGCCAACCTCGTCATGCGGGCGGCGTAGGAAAGATGAGTGCTAATGACTTAATAGCCCTTGTGACACCCATAGACACTGTTAATTTTGTACATTTTCATTCCTTCACGTAACTGTACTGGCCTGACGAGGAATTACCGAAAACACGTGTTTGCCAACTTGACTTTTCAAATTTTGTAACTGTTCGACCACCACCTGTCAGCTTTCGACGTTTCAAAACCCGCCTCTTGAAAAACTGGAGTTCCGAGCTTATCGAGTCCATTGCAACCATGCTTTCAATTTATCACCATTCTGACGCTGGTGTTCTCTCGCGTTCATTCTGAGTTACTGTTTCATCAGGCCCTGTTGGGGAAGCGAGGGAAGTTCTGCCAAGTAACTGTCAAACTGCACAGTTTTGAACCGTTGAATCTTTGATGTCTGTGTCGAGGGGCCTCCTATCCTAATTGCCGCCGGTATCTGCCAGTGAAATCGAGGCCATTACGAGGCATTAACAGAGCCTTACAGTGCAGTGGCATGGTCCCGAAATAACTCGCTGGCGTACACATGCTAGCGTGGTCTCGATGCTGTAACTTCTCTAGCCTACGTCACTTACAATAGAGAAGCAGTACTTGCATACAAAAACTGTTTCAACAAGACTGACATAGGAATATCAACAGTCAGATGGAAACTTGTACATTTCTGGCATGCAAACCCTAAGCACATGACAGTGACTAAATGGTTATAGGACGTAATCACCCTACGGTTGGAGGTTTTTTTATCAGCTTTGCAAGTGGAAACGGCTTTGCCAACTCATAAAGTAATTTAACCCCATTGGTTACACGTTGGAGGATGATGGGTGCCAGAGGGTCATATTTAATCGTGTTAAGTAGATTATTACCCTAATTGGTGCCAAACAGTTGCGGGCCAAGCGCTGAGTGGTTTTAAACTACGTCGGCTACTGAATTTGATCTGACAACCTCCAAAACGCTCGACTCCGCCTCGCAAGTTGTAAATGCTGAGAGAGAGTGTAATCGGTCCAAATCGGACCTGATGCCGACTATTCTTCAACTGATAAATCAATTGTGCTTTTAAACTGTCACGCCATACTAAGGGCTCTAGTTCGAAGAACTTTAACAAATCCGTCGCGCTGTTTACTTATTACGGTGCAGTCCTTCTTTGCCGAAGTATGGCATCCAGTCACGTCGGCTGCTTTGCTCATATTAATCGTCCTGTCATCTTAACTGTGTCATGTCACTGACAAATTGTGGGTGTGCGGAGAGAGGAAATGAAGTAGATGCTGCACAAGTCGTCGCCGCTTTGAGAGATTTCTGATCGCGCTGGACGAACAACTATGACAGCGGGGTGGTCTAGTCGTGACTGTTATTTTTATTTATTTCCTTTCTGTAAGCATTTGATATTTTGCCTGGTTTTTCTCAGTATACGGGTCCTTAAGAAACCGACGTCTTCTTGTGTCCGCCATGCGGATCCATAACATCTTTACAGGCTGATAAAACAGACATACGATTAAATTTTGTCCTCTCCCTCTGGTCAGCAACACTTCTGAGGCGCTCTCCTTTTTGTTTTGTTTTTTTTTAAAATCCCGGTCAGTGTACGTTGTGGACCAGGAAGTGTGGCAGTACGCCCAGGTGAGGGTTTTTGCCGCGCCAGCAACCTGCGTCCTCTCCCACCCCCAGTATCCTTGACTGTGTCGTGACATCGTGCTCAGGCAGGGGAGAAGAAGAAGAAGAAGAAGAAGAAGAAGAAGAAGAAGAAGAAGAAGGACGACGACGACGACGACGAGAAGGAGGAGGAGGAGGAGGAGGAGGAGGAAGAGGGGGAGGAGAAGAAGAAGGAGGAGGAAGAGGAGGAGGAGGAGGAGGAGGAGGAGGAGGAGGAGGAGGAAGAGAGAGTGCGGCAGACGCTGCGCAAGTCTGCAATCAGCATAGACTAATTCACGCGCAAACCACCGTCCTTGTTCTCACTCTGTGTGGGAGCTGGATCGGGGGCCAGCAGTCATCCTTGAAAATGTGCACACAACAACTCCCAACATTTGACCTGTGACGCACACCAATTTGAGGGCTCATGAGCCGCCCATTGGGATCTATGCGGCCCAACGAGTTCCGTAACACGATCGGCGTGTGCTCTTCTGCCATTGTATATACCTGACCGCAACCGACAGGACAGCGAGCCTGTGCCCAGTGGCTAGGGACGTTGGACTTCTAATCGACAGGTCGCGGGACCGAGTCGCAGGTGTTTCACACTTCGGGATTTGGTGTAACTGGCTGACGACGGTTGGTAAGCCAGAAGTGGCCTATTCAGTCTCTCTTGTTTGCGTCGACAATGTTATGCGGTCTCCCCGCTTTTTGCTGCTGTACAAATCCTGGTCAGTGGTAGGTGCGTGATCACGCCGTGCCAGTCAACTGTATTCTTGACCCTGTCTTGACAATGAGTCCGGTAGGTACTGCACACGTCATTGTCTTTGCTCTCAACCTGCTGCGGTCACGACGACCGAACTCACCTGATTGTAGAATGGCACTGCCGATAAAGACAGAAGAGACTGCAATGGCTAATGTTTCCTCACTAACCTTTATTGGGCAGCCTTACCCAAACGCAGCTTCTGCAACCACTGATGGTTGGACCAGCCACTTGCTGATTAGAAGTCCAAAGCCCTAGCACTGGAGGTATCGTCACAGATCGGGTTACGGTACTTGCCCGTCGGATGTGCCTTTGCGCTAGAGTCCTCGCAGCTAACTACGGCCATTCCGGACTTGTTTACCGTCGGCAGTCAACAAAATCTAACTCCAGGTTCGGATGGCCCCCCAGATCCGAACCCGGTCTCTGCAGTGATTGGGCGACAAGTCCTCCAATGCTCTGTCGTATGCAGGCCAAAATAGTCAAGGATAAAATATGTGTGACAAAGTTCCACCTTCCTCTCTTTCCACCGTTATATAATATCAGCAAGTTTTGTCCTCAGATACCGAATAAAGGTGAGCTAATAGTACTGCAAGACTGACTATCGAAAGGATTGTAGTTGGAGGGATGCAGCGGACAACTGCGACGAATAATTTCGGCAATTAACTTCCCTTCCTCTTGGTAAATGCCAGTACAAAAAGTCTCCACAAGTTTTACACAAGATCTCGGTTTGCTTGCCAAAATAGACTTTTTATTTTTAGCAAGCGAATGAGAGTAAGACCTTAATCAAGTAAGTAAGCTATCTGAATGGACAATCCGAGAGTTCAACAGGACTTAACGACCATTTTGCGACTTATTCCATTCAAAAGTCCCCAGTTAAACTGAACTACATAACACCGCGCAAAGAACATATCGACAGTGTATTCACAATCCTTAACTATAGTTGGAAGAAAGCAGGGTGCCAGAGCTTTGAAAACGTGCAGTTCCCCGCAGAACCAGTGAGTCACTAATCATTTGAAGATTCCGGGCTTGCTTTTTACCTTGTCCATACTCCGAAAGACTAGTATCTTACGAACAGATTAAAAAAGCACCTAGTTGTAGTGGGTTCTGTGAAGGACTATGTTGCAGTCGGCTGCGCAGAATTTCCCAATGATAAAATTTGAAAAACCTTCTTCAATGAATGGATTTCATTCGAGCAAGCATCATTTTACCCACTGAAAGGAGCCAATAACTGTCCCGGACATATTAGGTAACCGATTTACGGACATTACTGTTTCCCCAATGCAGCCTAACGCGTTTATAGGAACATATGCAAATCAATAATTTGCTTCATAGAACCGACTCATCTAAGCAGTGACTTTTCAGGTGAGCTGAAAAAGAAGGCTCTATCTTTCCTTACATTCATCTATGATTGTTTCATGCTGTTAGGAATGGATTTGCATCGGCAGGATGAAACCTAGGGTTGACGCATCTGCACAACTATCCAGCAAGATGCGTTTTCCAGTTTGTTTTTAAAAAAGGCGTTGGCGGGTCTTTCGGTGAACATGTATTAGATCCCATAGATATTTTGGCTGATTTTGAATAATTCGTATTGACCAATCTGTGAAAATCTCTGCGCCTCGGTGGGATTTGAACCCACGCAGTAATGGGAAGGCTCTAGTACAGCCAACGCTCTAACCACTTCAGCTATGAGCCCCCCCCAGACGACGCGAGTTTAATCACATCTGGGTCAAGTTACCCGCCCAAATATAATTAAACTAGCATCGTCCAGCGGGGTCTCGTAGCTGTGGTTAGAGCGTTGACTGTATTAAAGCCTTCTCCTTACAGCGTGGGTTCGAATCCAACCGAGGCGCCAAGTTTTTCACAGTTGGGTCCATATGAATTATTAGATTCCAAAATAATAGGCGTTTTCTCACTTCCTTCCTCACGGCATTACTTGACGTGGGATGAGGCCTTGTTTGGCCAATTAATTTACCGGTGGCAATGATTCATAAAGCTTCAACGAATGGTTCCTCTTTGTTACCAGGAGGACTTAAGGGGGAGTTGGCTCCACCTGCCTCATTTGTACGAGGCGCTATTAGGCATAAATGAGGATATTAATGTCCAAAATTCTGCAACATACCGCTTTAGTAGTTCCTGCACAATTTTCGGACAGCCTTCAATTGGTTGGAAGGATTTGGAATAATCCGTGCGAGTAAAAACCTCCCAGAAGGATGCGCAGAGACTGTAAATGTCTGCACTTCGATCGTAGCGTTTTGGCCTTTCATTGGTTCTAGCTAATACAAGGAGAAAATCGTAAACGGTGGAGACATTTCTTCATATAATGCTAAAGTCAGAACCGATATGAACCTAATAATAAAATTTTTGCTCAATGCGCACTACAGCGGCTCAATTGCTAGTATGGAGTGTTATGTTATAAACTTGTATGAAAACTGCAAAAATCTTTTTTAATATTACTCAACGATTTTCCCTTGTCTTATAATGGAACACCGTTTTAGTGTAAAATTGAAAAATAGCGGAATTCCTGTTGTTACATTTCACAAACAGCGCAGAGTTATTTGCCGTAGAACGTGTATCCGCCTCGGATAGGCCATTAAATTCTTTTGTAGAATCTGGCAAAGCATGTATTCCTGGCTCTTGGCGATTATTGTGGATGACGAGTAGATCCGAATTTGCGGTTCTGCTCAGATGCTCAGAAAAATAGCCTTCCAGGCAGACCATGTAGCTGGTCAAACGACCAAAGTAGACAATATTTTCGTAGTCTCCGTCCAGAACACAAAACTTAGAAACTTCATGCGAGAAACCTCTGTGCTGAATGCCTTCTTGACAATCTATTGAGGTTATATTTTGGAAGAAAGTTGAGCACCCAATTTTGGCGCGCATGTGTTTTGCATTTTAACTTAATTCCAGGCACATTTTTTAGTTTTCTGATATATGATCTGCTTATGCGGCTAAAACGCAGTGCATATTCCAATAAGGGCCATAAGAAAGGACCCTAACGCAAATATTCGAGGAGCATTTACGACTCTATGCCCGCTTTTTTAGTTATTTTATTTATTTCGGATGTGTTGATAAAGGCATAAGAGCAAAATATGTGTTTTCTAACTACAAACGACATTGGCACTGACAGGGCTTGATTATTAAACTTTTTGACGGGCTAACGTAACTTCTTCTCTGCTCAACATTCTTGCTGCCTTTTAAATAGTGAAAGAATTAACGGTTCTCAGATTGAAATAACGTATGCTGATCATTGACACTTGTTTATTATTTAGGATAAATAAACTTTACTCATAGCACGAAATGATTATATCGGCGCCCTTGGATATTCAACAGCTTATGCTTTAAATAATTTTAGCAAATCTGGAAGCTATGATAAAAAGGTTATTTCTCTTACGGGCAAGTACTTCAGGGGCCATATACTTTATGGATCCCTGGTGCAAGGTGACATCTTCATCCTCTTCTCGGGCGGTCCCAAAATCGCACAGTTTTAGTAAACGACACTCATCAAAAAGGATCATATTAGCTGGTTTAATGTCACGATGAATCTTTGTAGGTGAGCAGTGTTCGTGGAGATATTCCAGAGCGTTGGCTGCGTGAAGGAACCACAGGAATGCATGAGACATTGTGTACTTGGTTTGGAATGGCGCGTTGCATCTTTTGTTGAAGCGTGCTGTAAGAACTGAGGATGTAGAAAAAAAATATAAAGCCGTGTTATGCTTTTCTCAGTGAATGGTGCAAATGACGATTTCTGCTATAGGATGGGATTTTAAAATTCAGCAATATCATTCTTTAAGTTTAAAACTTACGATTTTCTAAAGAGGAGTTTGGGGCGAACTCTATGACGATGTACTTAAGGTCTTTGCCTGCGGGACTCGGCCCAGCACCGATAATGCCAACAATGTTGGGACAACGGCATTCGAACAGGCAAATGAGCTCACGGTAGCTGGATAATCTTTCGTTTGGATTCAGTTGTTTTATGGCAACCAAATTGCCGCGGTAAGAGCCACGGTAAATTTGTCCGTAGTTCCCATAATCTAAGGCAGTCTAAAAAATTCTAAAATCAACCAGCTGATACCTCTCTGCGAAGATCCAGTGCAGGGATTCGTAGTACGCGCCTGGACTTCCAAATAAGCTCACGCAGTTCAGCATTTTGCTTCCTGAAATATGTTATTATTTATTAATAGATAACACATAATAACATAATTACAAATAACGCAATGAATAATGTTTTATTATTATTCTAATCAACTTAACCTAATTGCAAGTGATAAATATCCCATAAATAACTTTGAATTCAATTGTAGCTTCGAAAACTGGAAACAAAAGTCTTATCTGATTTTGAACGAACGTCTTCTTTTGTGATGAGAATAATGAAATGTACGGGTTCAAAAGTATTTATTATCTAGCGTTTTATCGATCGACTCATGCGATCACCTTAGGAGTGGCGTCGTAGGCAGGACGAAGGTATCATTCAGTCATGCAGTTAAAATGTTACTTTGTACAGGAAAACAGGCAAGGTGACCGGCTTACTTTTTTTTA